ATTTTTGTTCTACTCTCCTCTCTTGACTGCACAGCCCAGGGGACTCCTGTCATGGAGACTCAAAATGACCCCGATTGAGTCAGCTGGCACCTCGGCGCACAGCGGGAGGGCAGAGGCTGCTGGGCACGCGCTCGATTTGTCACAGATCCCTCCACTGACGTCTGAGAGCTGCTAAAGGAATCTTAACGCGAGGGTTTTTTTTTAAAATCTCTCTTTTTTCCATTTAATGCTTTTTTTAAAGATACACTTTTCTCGTGTCCTTTAATAGAAAGAGAAATAAGAGAAAAGCAAAGGCACTGCCAAAGTACTTGAGACTTGTCCTAATTGGGAATTTTTAACAAAAATAGAAAACTTTCCTCTGCACTTGTTCTGACCCACCCTTCAATCCTCATCTTTCCAGAAACACTTCAGCACTGGTTCTCTGTCCTTGGCCTGCTGGCTACTCACCGAGGGCTCTGGCCTACCCCGGAGCCAAGAAGGGTCCACAGTGTGGCCCGAGCTCCCCATCACAGGGGGACAGAAGTCTTCACGTTCAGGCTGCCCCGTGGTGGCTACAGTGACTTTTACTTCTGACAACTTTTGTGACTACATCAAGACAAAGAACCAACAGTTTCACTGCGGGGAAGAATTTTTTTTTTCTAAGTGTTCCTACCAACCAAAATGATAGACTATATAGAAAACCACATCTCACTTCATGATCCAGAGCAGTAGTATGATCTTCCCTCCAGTTTCCATGGTGGTTTGCTTTTAGAGTGTGAGGTATGGTTTTTAAAATACAGTAAATGTTTATTTTATTTAATTTAGATATTACAGTAAAAGACCTATTGCTATTGATCCCCTCAGATACTCTCTCTCATTTTCAGCAGACTTATCCCATCATTCTTGCCACTTTCTGAAGCAGTTCTGGCAGTCCTCTTTCATCAGTGTCTTTCGTTGTGCTGTTGTAGCTGCTTCCATGTCCTGAATCAACTCAAAATGTTTCCCTTTCATGCTCATTTTGACTTTAGGGAAAAACCGTAAGTCACAAGGTGCTGGATCCGATGACGAAGGCGAGGACACACCGTAATGTTTTTCCAAGTCTGACCCTTCTGTGGGATGGCACTCCACAGCAGCATTCACTATACTTTTGATCATACTTTATGAAGACACTCATAAGAGAGGACTTCCAGAAAGTGGCATGAATGGTGGAATAAGTGTGTTTGAATCAAGGTGGCGTATTCTGAGGGCAATTAATGATGATGTGTCTTTTACGGTAATAAAATTTTTAAACTTACACATTCAGTGTATATGCTGTTCACGCCCCATATCCACGGTACCTAGTGATGCTGGTGGCAAACAGTGATGAGGCCCTGGGGTGGCTGCTGACATCCTCTGTCAAGCACTACCCCCGTGCCGTGTCTTCATGGGGATGGGACCCCCATCGGCATCCTCGGCAATCTAGAGGTGTCCCCAGGCTGGGGCTTTCCTGCCTGGAGGACAGCACTGGACACAGAGCCTGCTGGAGCTCATCCTAGGGTGGAGAGCCAGGAAGCACACTTTCCCAAAGCCCTCTCAAGGCCAGAAGTGGAGGGGACCCGGGGCTGTGGAAATCCCCACTCATATGCTGGGCTCTCCTAGCCCAACTGCTATCCCAGTACAAAGACGAGGACGGCCTACGGGGCGTGAACACCTGAGGTCTCTGAAAGCCAGGTGCCCCTCTCCCTTCCTAGCTCTTCACACAGACCCAGATTCAATTCAGCTTCGTGGTAGCAGCACCCCAGGAGGCTTAGGAGCATCTAAGACCCAAGTAAGCCAACTCTATTCTTTGCTACTCACAGTACAACTGCAACAACTCCTGGGGCCCGGCCTGCTCAGCCCTCCCTGGCGACTCCTCTCACACCCACCCTCTCTCTTCCTTCTAATTTTCCCTCCTCATCCACCCCTGTTCTTCACTCTTGTCACTCCTCTGTCCAGAACGTTTTCACACTTCCCTCCCTCAGAATACTCCTGACTCCAAGCCCTGACTAACGCCCTCTTCCTTCACCCCGCCTCCCTCACCAGAGCCTCCCGCCTGCAACAATATGGCTGACCCTGCCCCTCAGGCCCTCCCTTTCATGATCAGGCCCTGGGGAGCCTTACAGCTTCCCTCATTCTCTTCCTGGCTTTGCTGCAGTCTTGCTCTGTCTCTTACAAGGCAAGTGGCTTCCACCCACTGCACGGCTGGTTTAGTGCTGTATGAACAGTCAACAAAGCAACTAATATACTTGGGGCCAGAACCGGGGCACGACTGGGACATTCTTCCCTGGTACAGACATAACCTCAAGAGAATCCAGACTTCTGGATTTTAAAGAAAATTGTGTCAAAGGAAGATCTAAGGAGAAAAAAATTAAGATAAAAAAGGGAAGATACTTTCTGGGCCTTTCAATCTTAATTTCTTGGGCTAGCAAGCTGACTACTTAAACCCAATATTAATTCTCGTAACTACTGAAAGAGGTCTGCACTGTCTCCATTTCAGAGCTGAGGGAGACAAAGGTCAAACAGAACACACGCCCTGCCTGAAACCAAGAAGCACAGATGGAATCTAGCTGAAGCCCCAAACCTGGGCACTTTCTGCTCCAGCAGTAGGACTGGCCGAGCGCATGCCACGCGGCTGGTGTCGGTGGGCCACGTTCTATGGGTCTCTACCACACACCCCGCCTGCTTCCCAATGAGCCCACCTTTGTCTTATGCACCTATATAGGGCTCCACTGCTTCATTTGAGAGGGGAAAAAAATCCCACACACAATTCACTGCCAAAAGAGAAGGTATTTATACCAGTTATCTGTTTCTATACTTCACACATTGTCCTAAATCCCTTTTAAAAAAATCTCTGCGGTGGGGCTGGGGATTTAGCTCAGCGGCAAAGCGCCTGCCTGGCAAGCACAAGGTCATGAGTTCGGTTCCCGGTACCGGAGAAAAACCAAAACCAAAAAAAAAAATCTCTGCGGTTTTTTTTCAGTCCAAGACTTTAAAACTTCTAATTAGCCTTTCCCCTAAATGTCGCAGCGCATTACTCCCCTTTTTCACACGCATCTGGCCATTTCCAAGATGCCAGTAGACCACGTTCATATCCGGGGGTTGGTAAGTATGAACCACAGTTCATGCACCACAGGGGTTATGGCTGCCACCCTGGGTGCTCAGTGGCCAATGTCACTCCCAGTGCTGCTCGCACACTGTTACTACACTGTTACTACACAGACCCCCGCCTCTCACCGCTCAGAGCAGTGTGGACAGCCCCTTCCGAACGTTCACACCCCACTCCGTGGGTCTGCTTCTTCATATTCCCAAGATCTTCCCAGGACAGGGAACCACAAGCCACAAACGAAAGGCCGCTGAGGAACGTGCCTTTATCTCCAAACCCTTGTGTGGAAACCTTTGTTCCTTGACTTTAGCATCTCTTCAGAGAGAGAGAACACAGGGTGGAAATTCCGGAGACTGTTAGGGGGATGGAAAGGCTCTGAAGACCTCCCATAAAACTCACATCTTCAACTTTACGAAAATGTGGCTCCTTGGACACCAGTAAAGACAAAATTTTTGAATAAGCTCGTTCTTCACTCTCTGCCTGTCTCCATCCTTTCGCGTTGTTTTACATCGTCCACGTTAGAGCGGCCACCGATCTCTAAGAACCGACTACTGCAGACACTAAGAACCTCACATACATTATCTCATTTAATTCTCCCTATAAATGCGTGAGAAATCGGAGGCCTGGGGCTTGCAGGAACTCCCTCAAGGCAGCCAAGGTTAAAATTTAAATCTGACGCTAACGCTTTCTCTCCAGTCACTACACAGCATCCCCTTGGTCACACATTATTTTCTTCCCCCCTGAAATAAGTACCTCTCTGAGCAAAATCCTGCAGACCATGCCGCAGAGACACCCAGGAGGCCCTCTTTGCTAGGGCAGCACGCTTTGTCGCAAAGACGGAAAGCAGAAAAGGTGAAAACACAGCGGAGGTTCCGCAGCCAGCTTTAGCCTCTGGCCTCTTCCTGGCAGAGGTCTGCCCACCCGTGACAGGCGTTGGGGTCAGCTTCCCACCCGCATCCTTACATCCCAGACCAGGGAGAGAGCGCTGACACGCGAGTGTGCACACGGGGCAGAAGGCCGGGCACGGGCCTGGGCCTGGGCCTGGGTCTGGGCTGACCAAGCCCTGCCTCCCCTTCACACCCCTCCTCGCCTCCCCTCCAGCTGCTCAGTGACTCACTACAGCACAAGGCTCAGGGGAGGTGAATGCCACAGCTGCATGGCCTCGAACCAGAACGGACAACAGACGTGCGTGGGCGTCACTTCTTTCCCCAAGGGCTCCCGTGGTCCACACACACAGGGCAGTGAATCTCCCGGCCAGAGGAGCTCGGGGCTGTGCCATCGGGGATACCAAGGTGGGTCTCTCCTCCGTGCTGCGCATCTCCGTTTCTCAAAACAAAAGCACCAAGCCTCAGAACACTTCACCTCCGCTGCGCTCCCAAACTGAAATTCTTCTTTACACTGGAGAGCAGAGCTGGCCAAGCCGCCCAGCACTTCCCCACTCACTTCCTGAGGCCTATTTTTTAAAACGCGTTATTAATGATCAAGAGACGCCAACCAGAATCTGCCGGCCTGCCAGGATTTATTCAGCAAAGGAAATTTATCTCCTGAAGCACTGGGAGGAAAAATCAGTTCCAATCTTCTTGCTAAACTTTTCACCTTGAGAGAAAAATCATAACTCTACACAAAACCAACTTTTCATTTTCTTTCTTTCTTTCTTTTTTTTTGCAGCACTGGGGATTGAACCCAGGACCTTTGCACTGAGCTACTTATATCCCTACTCCATTTGTATTTTGAGACAGGGTCTCACTCAGTTGCTACACTGCCCAGGCTGGGCTCAAATTTGTGATCCTCCTGTCTCAGCCTCCCAGAGTGCTGGGATCACAGGCGTGCACCACCACACCCAGCCAAAACTAACATTTTAAAAACGAAATGTCGCCACCAGCGCTTCTGATGCACTCACCCTCAGTGTTGGAACTGATCTCATCCTCCACTCCGACCACGGGCCTCTCTCCACCCACCAAGGAAGGGTGGCCAGGCCCAGAGTAATCAGGAAGAACTTCTCCCTGGGGGTAGGCCGCAGAAAGATCGGGTCCTGAAGGCAGGGGCCTGCCCTCTGAGTAGGGCTGGACGATTCTGTCTCCAGGCTGGCGCGCGGGGCCCTCCTGGGAAGGAGCCAGGGAATCTCCGTCGACCTCTAAGAGAGCTGGACTTCCGGTCCCTGCCTGATCCAAAGGCTGCACGTGGCCTTTTAAACCCGGGGTCTCCACGTCTCCCAGGGGTGCCGCCTCTTTCCTCTGAGGGTCCGAGTGGGCAGACTGTGGTTCAGGGCCAGATGGCCAGTCACTAGGTGCTGGATGTGGCACAGGGGAGGAAGGGTCCAGGTCTGGAAAAGAGAGACCACCTCCCAGCGGGCCCGCGTCGGCTCTCGACTGGAAGGACACGTCCAGCCGGCTGTGACCGTCCCACGTCTCCCCTGGTTCACTCGGGGGATATTCAACCTCCTCTTCATTCTCGTCATAATAATCCAGATCGTCCTCGGTGTAGTCGCCTTCCAGGGCTGTGCCAGGGGTGACGGGCTGTTCCCGGGGAGCCCAAGGGCGGGCTGTGGGAAGATGCGCTCCAGTTGTGGCCGGCTGGAAGTTGTCCAGTGGGGAGCTGCTCCCGATATGAAAGGCCCACACTCCGGGGATCCCCATGTTGCTTAGTCTAAACAAAAAGGAAACAGTTCATACTAACAAAAATATCCACTCCCTCTCCTTCCCGCAAAGTGAGCACTTTAGCTTACCACTGAAAGACTACTAAGATCAGATCAAGCAGTTTCCTGGGTATAAAACACCATAAAAGCAGACTGTGTGGTAACTGAAAGGATACTAGAATTTGGATGTAAAATACCTTTTAGTCCGTGTTATGTTTAGAATGTCATGCCATCAAGTTATAAATCTGCTCTACAGTCCAGAGATAAAAGTTTTTATCTAAAAATCTATTTGAAGACAAACAGTATGGAAATATTTTATCCCCCTTCTCAACTGTCTGACAACTGGTAACACACTCAAGAACACTTCTGCTTCACGTTCACCACCAGACACATAAACAGTAACGAGTGCATACGCTGCGGTCCTGTACCAAGTGTGTGACATTCTTCACTACACTCTACAAAGTAGGGACAGCGGTCATGCCTCATTTTACTGAAGGGAAAAATGGGTTTAGAGAGATTAACTGAGATCACATAGGATTCATTTCCGTTGCTAGCACCAAAAGCCCCTGTTCTAAATATCTGTCCTACTGTATACTATGTCCAAAAGCCAAAATACTACCATAGACTGCTGAATTGCCACTGTTCTACAGAATGTTAAACACACACCCTCTTCACAGGGACTGGACTATTAATTAATCCAGAGAATGGAGAACCAATGTAAACACATTTTAAAGACATGCAAAATGTCTAAAAAGACTCGAGCAAACGTAGAATAAGTTAAGGAGGAAATAAGAACATAGATTAAGGCTGGGCATGGTGCCGCATGCCTGTAATCCCAGCACTTGGGAGGCTGAGGCAGGAGGATCACTGCAAGTTAGAGACTAGCCTGGGCTACAAAGTGAGCTCACAGCCAGCCTGAACTGCATAGGGAGACCCTGTCTCAAAAAAAAAAAAATACCTTAGTCAAAAGGAAAGGGGTCATAGGTAGAAGTTTTTCCAGAAATATTGGGAAACATCACTCTTTTTCTCCACTAGAGAAGAGCGAGGACTCCACTCAGTGTTCCAAATATCCCCGTGAGTTGATATTTTAGAGTCAGTGATATAGTCTTAAAAAAACAACTATTATATATATATATGATTTTTTAAAATAAGAGAAAATTGAGCTGAGAAGAGCCTGACTAGCTTGGACACAACAGTCTGTAGACTCTTCTGGTGTTTGTACAAAATACTACACTCGAATTCTCCCACACTGTGGAATTTCCTCCAAAGTCAGCAACGAGGAATAAGAATGACTAATAAGATAGTTTAAAAATTCACTGAGTTCCACGAGAACAACAGGCCATTGCTCTTTTCGGTAGCTATTCATCTGGATGTCTTCTACAGTATTACGATTTCTCATTTCAATCTGAAATTGTCTTTCCTTCCACCAACCCTGATGTGTAAGAGTGTGAGAATGTGTGTGTATGTGTGTGCACGTGTGCTATTGATGCCTCTGTCATTAATTTAGGGGAAAAAAGAGCATGTCTCCTTTCATAGCAGAATAAGATACGAAGCCAAAAGGAAGGATAGGGATTTTTTTTTTTAGCATAATTCATGTTTAATGTAAAATATAAAACAATATATCAACAAAGCAGCTGGTATCCCCTGTACACTATACTGTGTGTGCCTAACAATGTATGTGCATAAGAATTAATGTTGGTGATTCCTGACAAGCAAACAAGGAAAACTAAAGAAAATATGAGAAAATCATAGAGGTCTGAGAATACTTAGTTTATTATCACATTAGAGGTGTTACAGCTGTGAAGTTTTTTCTTGAATTTGGAAAACTACAAAAGCTTCAAAGAGTAGAAATATACAAATAATGTCATACGAAAGCTCAGTCAAATAACCTTCTAAAGAAATATAAATCACTAGCATGGCTTTTGTCATTGTGCACGATGGGAAGGTAACCAATCTGAGGCGACTGTAAAATCTCCAAGGTCATTTGGAGATCACAGTGACAGGAAGAATTTAATTTATTTCCTAGAAAGGGAAACGGAGCTACAAAGTAGGATAGCAAGCCTTCCTCTTCGGTTCACTAGAGGAGTTGAGGAAAACCAGATAAAATGGCTAGCGCACACACAAAAAATTATGGAGTCTCTTGGTAATTCTCCCTTTAGCCGGGTGTGGTGGCGCACGCCTGTAACCCCAGCACTCGGGAGGCTGAGACAGGAGGATTGTTGTGAGTTCGAGACCAACCTGGGCTACAAAGTGAGCTCAAGGGCAGCCTGAACAGCATAGCAAGACCCTGTCTCAAAAGACCAAAAAAAAAAAAAAAAGATGGCTAGCACATGCCTCACACACAATACCTACTTAGTTTTCACTGTCCTTTCTTCCAGGAGACAAAAAAGTATAATTTCAAAAAAATGCAAACATATGTATTCATATTTAAATATGCAGAAAAAGTATGACAAAAACTATGAATTATGTAATTTGCAACCCTTACATTGACACGAGACAAATTTATGGAAAAGAAGGATTCCATTGAGTAGAAAAATAAGTTTACTCTTTAGCGATACATACCGAAGTACTTAGGAGTGACCTGGTACGGCTCACATTAATTCAACAACATGTTGAATATTCATCTGTAAGCTGTCTTTATAATACACACCACAGTCCATACAACATCTTATAGTCTTAACATGATAATATAGACAGATATCTGACTGAAAGATGCCTATAAAACAGTGACATATGAGAAAATGCACACAATCCACTGGGTTTTAAAAGGTTTTTGCACATACCTAAAATTCTGGAAGGACTGTTACTACTGATTACACCTGACCTAGTAGGGGTAATTTTTACTTTTATTTAACATTGTTCTTTGTTGTCTCTACATTGTTTTATATGAAACATGAATTTCACTTTAAAAAATTTCTCTGTGTCCTTCATTTTGGCTCCAGGTCTTATTCTTGAGCAATGTTCTTGAGCAATTCAGAGGATTTCTGAGAGGCGTCAAACATAAAAATGAGAGAGGCCTGGAGGGGACAAGTGAAAGTGCTGTGTGTGTGTGTGTGTGTGTGTGCGTGTGCTGCATGCATGTGTGAGTGTCAGATCTTGGTAGCTTTTAGGCCTCCGGTAGAGGAACAGAACTACTTTCCCCACAGGCTCTTTGGCCTCCGCTGCCTCCCGTGGCCGTGGTAGATGTCAGCACTTATTCTAGTGCTCTGCGGTGGTTGAGCCATTGGTCTGTCTACCTTACCAGAGTACAAGTTGCTGGTATGCAGAGCCCCGGCCTTCAAAATCTGAATTTCAAATGTTTGGCCCACTCTCAGTTATTCATAATATCTGAGGAGTACAGAACCAGTGAGCTTTTGAGTAGAAGAAGAGGGTAAAAAGGAGAGAGGAGATGGAGGAGAGCATAGAGCTAAATTCCAGAATCTGGATTCCAGGGCAGCCGAGACGGAGACCTAAAGATGCCCGATGTGAAGAGAAGGACTCGGCATAAAAGACAGTAAGGGGTTCAGCTCTCTACCCCTGCGCTTTGATTGCAGCCTGGCCACTCTGAGCTCACAGGCAACTTCCTTAACTTCCTAAGCTTATCTGTAAAATCGAGAAAACAGTACTATTTGTCTCCTTTGAGTCTTGTGAATTCTCATCAAGATAACATCTGGAAGTGTTCAGCAAAAGCTTAGCAAACGATAAGCCCTCAATCAATGTCAGCTCTGAGTAACCATCTGTCACTGTCGCTGCCCTCTCTGGTGGCCGAGCAGAGCAGACGGTAGGTAAGAGTGTGAGCTGTTCCTATACCTGGAATGATGTCATGACCTGAGAAGCGGTCAGGGAAGCCAGGGAGTAACTTATGTGCTCTGGACTAGTACTCGGAAAGAAATGAAAGCAAAGACCAAAAATCCAAAACACTGTGGCTAATAAATATCATTCTGGGCTGGGTGTGGTGGCACACACGTGTAATCTCAGCACTCGGGAGGCTGAGGCAGGAGGATCATTGCAAGTTCAAAACAGCCTGAGCTACAAAGTGAGCTCAAGGCCAGCTTGAAGTGCATAGCGAGACCCTGTCTCAAAAAGACCAAAAATAAATAAATAAATAAATAAAAATAAATATCATTCTCGCTCAAACGGGACTGCCCAACGTAGTAAGGGTTATGATTAAGCAGATTACTCCACGTTGGGACGAAGGACTTGCTCCAGTTCTGGCCACACACACACACACGCACACACACACCTGCCAGAAAACCCTCAGCATGAGCTCAGGTCATGAAGGCATAAAGAAATCCTGAGACTTCTAACCATCTATCAATCTGTTGTATTTATTTATCTTTCCTCAGCTAGAGTCCTCTTCATTTAATTTTTAACAGTATTCACCCAAAAGACAAAATCACAGAGTCTCTTCCTGTGAAATGATTAATCCCCAAATCCTCCACCTAGGCAGCTATATTACTGGATATTTTTACGTGGTTCCAAAAGCAATGTTTTTCATGGCAAGCTTCAGTGGCTCAGCAAACACACACACACACACACACACACACACACACACACACACTCTTGTTTCTATTTTCTAAACCAAATAGGGCAGGAAAATAAGGGAAATTGCTCCTCCAAGGGTTCAACCTAGTTCCTGGTTTCGATGTGATGCCTTTCTTAGAGTCCACTGAGCTATTATTGAATGGCCTGTGGCCACTTGAGGTCAGGTACCCACGAAAGGCCAAGGGCTCTTTTACTTACTGGTAGAGATTTTTCACAGACTGTTCCGTGCTAGTCAGGCTGAAGTACGGTCCTTCTCTCTTCATGTCCTCAGCCTCCCCTCGGCAGAAGCCCACCCGAGCTGGGAGCAGCAGCTGGACGTTGTAAGACTCCTTGGGGCGAGTGCCGAAGAACTGCAGCCCATTGGCAGGGTAAAGAAAGAGGGCGAAGCTATCGGACCCATCATAGGCCAAAACCGCCTGGAAAGTGTTCAGCTGTGAAAAGGAATTGGAAACATCCTTTAAACAAACAGACAAACAAAACAAGAAAGCAACACAAGCAAAGCGACAAAGTACAAAGAATTTTCACCCTTCTCAGAATTCCCCCGCGGTGGTTTTCTGTTTATATTAGGACAGGTTTGCCATCACAGCAATTGTACCGCATTAACCTCCTGGAACTGGTCACGTAGGTATCACACCACGATCGCGCTGCTTCCCCTTTCCCCTCCCCCTTTCTCCAGACTGCTTCCCATCTCTGCAGTCTCCCTGTTTCCTACCATTTTTATTTTTCTCTTTAAATTACTTCTATTGAGGGTTTCTCATATCAGAGAGACCTTGTGATATTTAACTTCTATGTCTGAATGATTTCACTTAGTAATGTGGTCTCAAGATCTATCCATTTTCTCACAAGTGACTCAAATTTATCCTTCTTTAAGGCTGAGTAGTACTCCATCCCCAAATCAGCTTTAAACATAATCTCCCCTAGAACTTCCTTTTCGATTCCAAATGCAAGTTTATAACTGATATTATTTAGTCTAAGCATCGCCCATCAATTCAGATCATCAGTTAAAATATACATAGGTAAAATAGAGGTGAAAATTTTTTTAAAATTAAAGTCTCACACTTCTCTCATCTAAACCCCTCTGCAGGGGCTGCGGATTTAGCTCAGCGGCAGAGCGCCCGCCTGGCAAGCGCAAGGCCGTAAGTTTGATTCCTGGTACCGGAAAATAAGTTAACAAAAAAAAAAATAAACCCCTTCTGGAGGAACGTGAACACGGCAAAATCAACTTGTGGCAAAATGATTCCCACAGGCACTGCCCCTGTTTATAACTCTGGGTGTGCAACGTCTCTCACCTGGACGACTCACTCATCTGCATATTCTCCGCCTGTGACTGGTGGGCACTGTGTTAGGCCCCGGCTGGCCAAGAGGCCTCAGACCTCTTCATTACTTTCACAGCCTCGCCTACTCTTTCACTGCAACTCCACAGCCGTGGTCACATTACAAGTGAGAGAAAAGACGCAGGGACTAGCAGGTGTGCCCAGGGTCACGCAGCTCATTCCAGGGAGCCAGAGCCCCTGCCCTGCACCTCAGGCCAGCCTGAGCCTCCCTGCGTGCCATCCAAGGGGGTTCATCCCGCCCCTCCCAGCGCAGCTCTGCTGCGTCTTCATCAGACGACTTACTATGCCCATCTGCACCATAAGCAGCACTGCCTCTCAAACGCTGCCCCCTGGAGGTGTCCTGCGAGTCCCAGCAGGATTCTTTGCCCTCTGACACCGTTGTGAGTGTTTCCAGATCATTTCACCCCGGGTAGAGTCTCTGGGACTGTAAACCCCACTCATCTCCCCATCGGTGCCCTGCATAGCTGGCTGCCCCAAGCTCAACGCATCGTGCTTGGTGCTAAAATACACAGGAGCAAAGGACAATGCCACCGTGCCCAGGAGAGTCCTCCACTTAGAGGAGGAAAACTGCCACGGTTGGAGTTCCAGAGGAGTAACTGGGGACAGCGGCCAGAGAGACAGCAGCACCAGCGAGAGCGTGTGCCCAAGACCTCAGGGTGGGGGCAGACAGGCTCACAGTGCGCCTGGGCGTGTGGATAAACACTGTAGGAGCCAAAGCAGACCAGGGAGAGACCTCAGAGAGAGACCGGGAGCCTGAGTAGCCACAAACTCAACACCCAAGTGACTGCAGAATCGCTTTTCTTTTTTTTTTTTTTGAGACAGGGTTTCACTGTGTAGTTCAGGCTGGCCCTGAACTTACCTTTGTAGCCCAGGGTGGCTTTGAACTTGCAGGGATCCTCCTGCTTCAGCCTCCTGAGTGCTGGGATTACAGGTGTGTGCCACCATGCCCAGCCCAGAATCGCTTTTTGATGTTCAGTTTACTCTCCTATTTTCAGTAAGACTTTTGATCCTTACCTTCATCCAGCTATTATTGCTCCCCACCTTTCCAAAAGATGTTAGCAGTGCTTGATTATCTTTATTTTTTTTTTAACCGGGAATCGAACTCAGGACCTCACACTTGCCAGGTAGGCGCCTTGCCGCTGAGCTATATTCCTGGCCCAATGTTTGATTATCTTTAAAAGATGCTTATTTAGGACTCTACACTACTTCTTTCACTAGATCACACTCAACTGGAGGACATTTTAAAAATATCACTTATTTCATAAATAACATGACTCTTAGAAACATCCATTTACTGCTGACCACCATTAGCTCCTCATATTGCTAGGCAGCTAAAATTAGGCACAGAAAAAAATATTAAATCAAACTAAATAAAATAGCCCAGGGTCCTTCTCTATGTTGTTCTCTTTCTTAATGTTATTTTTTTCTCTTTCAGTGTTTAATTTTAAAGCATAGTTTTGAGGTCTTGCAGATATGGCAAAGAAATGTAGGAGTTATCTTTTTCAAGAAAAAAGTAAATATGCCAAGATCTCTGACCAAAAAAGTCATTTTGCCTGTCTTTCCTCCTTTCTTTCTTTCTTTCTTTCTTTCTTTCTTTCTTTCTTTCTTTCTTTCTTTCTTTCCTTTCTTTCACTCACTTTACAGACTAATAGACAGGGAATCCGGTGTAGTTATTGCTGAGTTTGTTGATTGTTTCATCAGCAAAACTTGACTTTTCCAAAAACAAAGACAAAGGAACGCTTTCCGGAACCTCACAGACAGAAGGCTTAACTTCTGCCCAGTGTACACAAAGGCTGTTTCCCCATCGTGTCTAATAATTCATTTTGGAGTTTTATATCAATCAGAATAAAGACAGTTCAAGTAGGGAAAGAAAAGTCAGAGGGGAAGGAGAACGAACCCCTTTTAGCAGACGTATGCAGAAGTGAGCGCAAGAATCCCATCTTAAACAGCTAAGCTTTAAAGCTCCTGCCATGAATCACCCGCAGTGAAGGGAAGATAGGGGAAATCCTGGTTCTAAGTTTAGAGAAATTCTGTAAGATAAGGTGGGTGTATAGACGGCAAAGGATTAAAGGGGATGGGGAGGGAGGATGGGGCAGAAGTAAACAGGCCTGTGAAAGGGAGAGTCTGGCTTTTCACTGTGGAATCTGAGTAGTTAGCGCTGCGTTCACTCTTTGCATGCGTCGGCCAGTACGCATTTCAATTACCACGTATTCGGTGCATTCTCAATGCCACCCCTGAGACAAGCACTCCTTACAGGTGGCAAGTGTTTAATTTCCCTAGTTCCACTGAAACAGGCAAACATCAGAAGAACAGCTTCCTTTTAAATAGAATTTATGATCCCAAACGACACTCTAAAAGAGTCTGGCAGTTTAAAAACCACCACACTCCAACGTTCTCAGTCAGTTCTACAAAACTCCACACTGAACTGCTGCAGAGCCCTCTTCACGCAGGCCTGAAAGGCTCCTCCTCCCGGACGCCCTGGCCGGCTTCCAAACCGGAAAGGTCCCGGCATTCCTAGATATAACGCTCCGCAAGAGCCCCACACACTCGGGCTCCGAAGGGAAACCCTCAGATGGGCTGCCAAGCTCTGCACGGGGGTCACTGGTTCCCAGCATCCCCAGGGTCTGAGGAGCACCAAGGGGCCGGGGGCGGGGTGTGGACAGCACAGTGCGGGTCGGGCCAGTGGCTGAGCTTCAAGGTTTCTGCCATCTGTTATCAAAGAGAGAAAGGCCAGAACCCCCAGCAGAAAGCTAGCCTCCGCCTCCGCCACGCAGATACGGGCATCACCCCTCGGTGCTGATGTGACATTCAGCAGAGCTGGGCTGACAGGTATCAAATGTGTCCTCCTAAGAGTTTCTAATTTTGCAATTTGTTAAATAATTACAGCCATCTGGCAAAAGAAAAAAAAAGTCAGAATTGTCATCTCTGTCCCCAAGGGGTTTGCCGAGGTTTACCAAAGCAAAAATGGAAATTAAGATGCTGGGTGAGTCCTCAGGGTCACTCAGTTCTCCTTCTGGTGTTCCTTAGGGCTACACGCTCTCTAGAATCAGGAAGCCATAGACTCCGACTTCTGTGTTTTCAGTTGCTGCTTGTAACCCTTCGCCTCCCACCACCTGTAGAACACCATTGCAGGCATAATGACTGCTCACCCATCTTGCTGTGTCCTATAGAACTTGCCAGCCAGGGATGGTGGCACACGCCTGTAATCCCAGCACTTGGGAGGCTGAGGCAGGAGGATCGTTGCAAGTTCGAGGACAGCCTGGGCTACAGAGTGAACTCAAGGCCAGCCTGAACTGCATAACGAGACCCTGTCTCAAAAAGATAAAAAGAAAAAAAAAAGAACTTGCCAAAAATTCAAAGATAATGCCCAGTGTTATCACATCCCTCATATTCTACCCTTCCTGACACTTAGTCTTGAGCAAAATTTCATATTTGTCTATAGTCTCTATATCTTTATAGCTGTATCTCAGACTCAGATTCAACTCTCAGTGAAGTGACAGACCTCCTTCTTTTGGACCCCAGAGCCAAAAGTCAAAATGCTACAACAAAGGGCAACTTTCTTGGTCAGTGTCATGCTTGACAGCAGATCAGAATCCCCCAGATCTCCCTTGCATTCACCTCTTAGGTCAATGCCCTGCGATGCCTTCATCCATATCTCCATCCTCAGCCCTCCTGGCCTCCTCCAGGACATGCCCTCACTCAGAACAATCTCTCCGCTACCTCATTCTCAGTATCCGTTCTTTCAGCCCTTTACAACCCAACTTAAATTCCAAGTCAACAAAAACACTCCACACTACCCCGATCTGAGTGATCCAGTTCTCCATAACCTCCCTCCTTCAATGAGACCACCATCACATTACTCCTCCCCCGAAAACAAACAAAAATACACACAAAACAACGAAAGCCCACAGCTAAAGTACACACCGGTCTTCATGTTTTCCGTGAATAAGTCCTTTGGAGGTCAACACCCCAACTCTTTTGCTCCATGAATTGCCTCTGTTAGCTCAAGAAGTCTCAGATTACTTGAGCTGATAAGCACTATCCGTGCACATCTTGTCCAGCGCAATTACACCTTGGCATTCCTGCAGTGTTAGTTAGGCATGATGTCCTGTCACACCCAGTGTGACGATCCATGGGCAGAAAGGGCACCAACTGAAACCGTTTTAAATGGTAGAGATGCCATTCCTCTGATCGCTTCAAGTTTCCAGTCCTTCACAATGTGGTGCGCCAAGATTGAAGAAAGCCATGTAAAACTCACACAATCCTTCAAGCAAAATAGATTATGTTTGCCAAACTCTGTCCTCCAAAAAACTATTAAAGCAAGAACTCAAGTCACAGGGCTCTTTAAAGTATTTAGAAGAACTTTCAACGTGGGTAATTGAAAAAACATCCTCTGTCCAAACAGAATCCTCAACTCTTTTCTAAGTGAAAACATTCTAAAGCCAATTCAGCACACAGCAATACTGAAGAATGATTTTGCTGAAAAATGTTAAAGAAAGATGGGATCTGCAAATTTTTCTCCCACCCTAACTTCACTCCCAACAAAAAAGTCAGAAAAAAAGACAAAAGATTCTTTACACAAAGGAAGCCGGGTGTGGCAGAGCATGCCTGTAATCCCAGCACTCAGGAGGCTGAGGCAGGAGGATCGTTGCAAGTTCAAGACCAGCCTGGGCTACAAAGTGAGCTCACAGCCAGCCTGAACTGCATAGTGAGACCCTGTCTCAAAAAGACAAAAAAATAAAATAAAATAATATACAAAGGACTTCGATTACCACAACGACACCCCCACAAGATAGTGAAACAAAGGAACTAGAACTTGGTTGTATGGAGCCAAAGTGGGGAATAAAGACTGGCTGAGCATTTGCTTACTAGGTCTAAGGGACTAGAATGGTACTCAGAAATGTCACCCCAGTTAATTCTCACAATAATCCTGTAAGGGGAGGTGTTGCTACCTCATTTTATAGGTGAGGAAACTAAGACCGAAGCTGAGTCACTACTTCCAAAGTCACCGGATAACCTTGCAAATCCATTTCTTTCCAAAATGTTTTTATCTCATCACTGATTTCACAACTGCCCTGAAAGTTTGGCAAGAGAAGCGTCATATCCAGGACGCAGACGACACGGAGGAAAGTAATTAACAAAGCCACCTCACCTGCATTACAACTTTTATTTTAACTAAGCCCCCAGGAAGCTGAGATCTAAATGCTGGAGCATGATTTCATGACCCCAATTCATCTCACTCGTTCTTTTCTATCTTAAAAGTGAGACACACACAGCTGGACTATCTTCAGAGCGCTGGAAGTGATGTTGGCATGAAAAGCATCCTTTACAGCAGATTTCATTCCAAGTTCAGGCTTCCTGTGAATGAAAATTGTTCCAAGGACTCTGCTGGTACCAAAATCACATCAAGACAATAAAACTCAAACCTCATTCATCGAAGTCTTTGGGGAAGGCTTAGCTATTGTTGTTTCTATTCCTATCAGTTACACCAAGGAAGTGTGGTTGGCAAAAAAAAAAAAACCCTGAAAATCAAGAAGCCTGTATTTTAAACTTGCCTTTTCCTCCTTAAGAGCAGCATTTGGACAATCACTCTGAGTTCTACTTGCCATTATCTATGAAATGCAAACGGGGCTTCTTGTACTTATCCGATAGGGTGCGTACAAGAATTGTGATGGGATGATAGTACGATAAAACACTGATGCAAGAATTTAACAAGATAGCTTGAATAAACAACATTTAATAATTATCTATGTAGTCAGTCTGCTCTTTGTCTCCTTACCTCAATAAAGCCAAAAAGAGCTCCCTTTAAAACAAAACAAAATAAAAACAGAAATCTCTGCTTAAAATACTGCAAATGCTGTCCACCATTTAAGAACTAAATCCAAATCCTCCCAGAACATGACCCACCTGGGCTCCCGGCTTCTCCGGCCTCTGCAGCCCTGTGTCTCAGTAACAAAATGCCATCTACAGAGTCGCGACACAATGTACTTTATAGCACAAGGGTGACACATGCTATTCATTCCAGCAAGACTGTTCTACTCTGCTCAGCGCAGACTGAAAGTTACTTTCTCATGGAAACCTTCCCAGATCTATCTCCCCTAAACAGGAAGTCAAAGGCAGGCTCCTCAAGCCCAGAGACTACTCTACTTATCCTACTGAAAACTAAGGAAGGCCCCCAGCAGACAGGAGTCACACTGAGTTAAAAGTACGTCCTTTCACAGCGTCTCTCCCCGTACTGACATACAGTAAGTACCAAAATGGTTTACTGAATGAATAAATCTCAATTAGGCTAGAATATAAATTATTTATATACATACATATATAAAAATATGCCATATATCAGTTTTCTAAATGACTACAAGACTATATAACAAAGTATTAGCACTGGTGACTTCCAAGTTAGTGGAATTATAAATAATGTTTCCTCCTTACATTCTGTTTTCAGTGTTTTCCATTATCAGCATGGCATATTAAATTATTATTATTATTATTAAATTCTTTTTGAGACAGGGTCTCGCTATGCAGTTCAGGCTGGCCTTGAGCTCATTTTGTAGCTCAGGTTGGCCTCAAATTTGCAACGATCCTCCTGTCTCAGCCTCCCGAGTGCTGGGATTACAGGCATGTGCCACTACACCCAGCTTTAATTTTAATGATACTTTTTGAACTTATAAACAAAAATAAATGAATGAAACAATGCTAGGGCCTTGCCTTATTTGCCTCTGTATCCTCTCCAACCTCCTACTTGGCTCAGTGTTCAACACAAAGATGTTCAATATGTTTGTTTGAATCAACCCTACATAAATTCAAATTATTTCTATGTCTAGATCTTCTTTGCCTAGTACAGGTTTTAGGGCACAGCACTCTTACTCTTAGAACACAGAAGAAAGGCTACCATGTTAAATGAGGCGGTGACCACAGCCAAGCTTCCTATGCACTATCTGTAGCTAAGAAACACTGTGATGAGTTAAAATAGATAATATGGTTTCAGCCCTTGGAGCACAAGGTTTCATATTCAGGTCTAATTTCATAGAAGGAATTTTGTACCTACTCCAGCAATGAGGCAATTTGCCATTTACCAAACTACCTTGGTCCCACCCAATGTCTATTTGGAATACTTCCAACATTGCTTCCCAAGACCAAAAGACTGGGAGCCTGGGTTGTTTTCCTTTCTGCAGATAGAGACGATAAAACACATCTCAGACAGTCTCCTGTAAATGAAAGATCATGTAATCTGGAATCTGGAGGGCAAACTGGCAAAAGCTATAAAGGATCTTCCAAAAAATACACTCCCTCTGGCCCACCAATTGCACTTCCTGGGATGTGCAAAACTTTCAATTTTTAAAAAAATTCTTCAAACCAGGCATGGTGGTGTATGCCTATAATCCCAGCACTTGGGAGGCTGAGGCAGGAGGATACTCTTTGTGAATTCAAGACCAGCCTGGGCTACAAAGTGAGCTCAAAACCAGCCTGAACTGCACAGCGAGACCCTGTCTCAAAAAGACAATAAATAAATAAATAAATAAATGAAAGTAAAAAGTGCTTCAAGGTATTATTTATAATAGTGAAAACAAAGACATAACTTAATGGCCACTGGGAACACTGGTTAAGTAATCTGTGGTCGATAAACTGGAATATCACACAGTCATAAATAATGTCATAGAAACATATTTATTGACATTGCAACATATTCAAGATATACTAATCAAAACAAGCAACCTAGGGGCTGGGGATTTAGGTCAGTGGCACAGCGCCTGCCTGGCAAGCACCAGGTCATGAGTTCAGTTCCTGGTACCGGAAAAAAACAAAAACAAAAAAAACAAACAAGCAACCTGCATTACAGCACTGGCAATGTGAACCCATTATCATTAACAGACAGCAATAGATACGCATAAAAACGCTGGAAAACCTACACACAAAAATGTTTAACAGGAGCAGTACTGGGGAGGCTGAGGCAGGAGGATCACTGAGAGTTTGAGTCCAGCCTGGGCTACAAAGTGAGCTCAAGGCCAGCCTGAACTGCACAGCGAGACCCTGTCTCAAAAAGTGGGGGAAAAAATGTTTAATAGTGGTAGAGAAATGAGCGGTTGCTCTTTTTTCAATTTCCAGTATTTTCTGATCTTTCTTTGAATGAACATATACAATCAGAAATATTTCTATACCTACTGATGAGTCCACAAATAAACTGCCCTATGTTCCCGGGGTCTTTGGCAAATGCACTCTGGTCCTCATTCCCCCAAGCAGTTTTCCCTGCGAGAGTGACCACCTGTCAGAGCCTCAGAAGATGCCGCCGGACAACGACCTTCTACACTTCCCAAGTTTTTCGGCCCTGGTGCCACCAAGAGTTCAGCACAAGAGCAGACTCAGAACAAACTCCCAGCTGGTCCCTGGGTTCCTGTTCGGAATGCAAGCCCCGCGGCTCAGCTCGCTCAGTGGGGGTGGTCGGGTCCCTTGGTCACTTACCTCCCCCGAGGGCTGAGCCCCGCGCCTGACCTCCTCGTAGGCGCCGACTCGCTCCCAAGTGGCCAGGAAGGCGTGGGTGGGGGTGAAGCCGGCGGCGGAGCGCGGGAAGCCGGCGCGCACGTAGCGGGCAGCCAGGCTCAGCACCGCCGGCGAGGTGTCCTCGCGGAACAGCACCCGGCCCCTGCCCCGGCTCGTGTCGATGTCGGCCAGGAAGGGGGCGATGGCCGGGAAGTCGGTGGGGAAATCATCGTCCACATATTGGGTCTCCCTGGGGAAGTCTTGGGTGGAGATGATGCCGTTGGTGCCCACCTAGGAGGCGAGAGAGACAAAAAGGTGACGGTCACTCAGTGCCCTGGGCGCGGCCACCGCGGCTCCAGCTGGCCCCACAGGGCGGGAAGGGGCGAGAAGCCTCTCCCTCCTCGCTGGGTGGGAGTCTCGGAGGAGGGCGACCAGCGCCTCTACGGCGACGGTCACTGCGCGGGGCACGGACCTGGGTGCCTTGAACTCGCCCACCTTCTCACGCCCCAAACGACCCTGGAGCTCCGGGGGACACCACTCGGGCTCTGCAGATGTGCTCCCTTCCCGCAGCCCTAACTGCGAGCCCTGCCTTCCTCGCTGCCCCGGGCGCGGACGTGGCTGGACGCGGGTCTTACTCCCCGGGCAGGGCAGGGCTTCCTCCCCTACGGGGCTCCGGGAGCTGCAAGGCTGCAAAGCCACTTCCCCGGGGAGGGCGGCGGAGCCTGGGACTCTTTCCTCGTCTGAAGGCAGGGTTTCGGGACGCGGTCCCGTCCCCGATCCCCGCGAAGCAGCTGCGCGCGGCGCGCAGAACTTACATAGAGGCTGCCGAACTCGGCATCCAAGAAGCGCAGCGGGAGTGCGAGCTGCAGGGGCGCCGAGCTCTCGTCGTCGCCTTCCGGCAGCAGCTGGTCTCCCCGCGACTCCCCATAGGGGAAGAGCTCGTCCGGGCGCAGCGCCGCGGCCCGCGACAGCAGCAGGAGCAGCAGCGGCAGCGGTGGCGACGGCGGCCAGGCCGCCCGGCTCCCCGGCA